TGTATATATGTGCGTTCGGTTCCGCTGAGCTCAGCGGACGTCCTGGGTCTCTTTCAAAAATGAGACGCATATCCTAGGTATCCTAAGCGAGTTGTGGACCACAAACGCTTGCAGTACGATGTTCGAACGATTTTTGACTCTGAGTTTGGTATGTTGCGAGTCTCGAGGGGAGATTATGAGAGTACTTCGCAGTAGGAACTCGGGGTCGGACGTCCCGAAACTTCAGTCCATGCCCTGGGGGAATCCGCAGAAACTAAGATCCCTCATCTCCGTCCCCTCAGCGCCGCGGGAGCGCCCGTACGAGCGTCTTCGGCCCCTGCTTCGCCTCGCACGACATGGAGTAATTTTTTAGGACCGCCGACCCCGACGTCCTACCGCGAAGTGCTCTCAATTTCTCCTCCCGTGGCCCGGAACATGCCAAACGCAGCGTCAGATATCGTTCAACCATCGTTAGTGTCGGATCATGCATAGATTTGTTCTCCTCATGCGCCCCGCATCCCCCGCCTTGTTTAACCCCCGTGCGGGGGTAAATCGGCGGGGGATACGGGGCGGATACCATATGATATCACCTTCAACTTGCCTTCACCTTGACTTCATCTAAATAAGATACTTAGCGTCATTGTGTTTTTTTTGGGTCGATGTTGATGTGTGCTTCACCGTGCCGATTTAGGCTGATGTTGAACCTATGTTGGGGCTACTACTCGGGGCTACTGGGGGCTGGGAATATAGGGGGCTATGGCGATTAGGGGCGATGCTAATAAAATAACATAAAAATAGCATTATCCGTATACGGGGTGGATTGCTAGTTAACAACATGTTGAAGGCGGCGTGCGCGCGCCTCAAAGCCGGTCGACGATGGGGCAGCCCCGTTCAGGACTTGTTAATAGCATCATAATCTAGCTCGGTTTTAAGGCATCGCCACTAAGTCGACGTTCGTGTCGAGATCAGGCCGCTCCAGCGACGAAATCGGCGGTCGGCAGCATCTCGCTGAAATCGGCGCCTGAGAGGCTGTCGGTGTTCCAGCGCAAGATCGTGCTCGCCGCCGGTCAAATTGTGCCCGCGCTCGGGTCCCGTGAGGACGGCTCGACCGCCCGGGCGCCGCGCGGCGACCGCAGTCCGCCGCGCCGACTCGCTGGAGGCAGCCCGAGACGACGAACGAGTCCCGCACGGGGCGTGTGGTCCGTCCGCGCGCGCGTCACCGAATTGGACGCTTTTAAGCATTGGACAGCACCTTTCGGTCCAGAACCTAGCTCCAATTTAATGGATCGCCACTACCTCGACGTTCTTCTGCAAAAACACCGGCCACGGAACGAGCGCGGAACGCGCGCGAAACCGCGAGCGAGCCGCAAATCGAGGGTGTCCCAGGACTCCTGGCGAGTTCACGTCGAGGCTCCCGCTCTTCTTCGTCCCGCGCTTCGCGACGTCGACGACGTCCGACCGCGCGCAGTAGCCCTGGACGGCGCTGTAGCTCAAGGGCGCGCGCTCCGGCACGGCCTTGCCCCGGGCGACGTTCACGAGCACCGTCGCCTGGCCCAGGCTCACGCCCTGCTGCACCGCGTTGCAGACGATGGTCGCCTCCATGGAGTCCTCGACGATGAGGGGCGCCGCGCCCGCGAGCAGGTCGCAGGCGCGCGGGTCGTAGAGGACGCCCTGCGAGTCGGCGTCGCGCAGCTGCCGGAACACCTCCTTCACGCAGCGCGTCGACTCGGGCGACATGTTCATCTGCTTCCTGACCCACACCGCCCAGCCGCGGGGGCCGTCCCAGGTCTCCTCGTCCGGCGCGCCGATCATGCGGTAGAAGTACGCGATCGCCTCGCGGCGGCGCGCGGCCTCCCCGTCGCCCAGCTCGTTAAAGTTCGGCCGCGGCGGCAGCTCCAGGCTGACGCGGGGCGCCGAGGCGGGGTGCGACGCCGCGGAGGCCTTCGCCGCGCGCTTTGAGCGGTTCAAAGCGTCGCGGACGTCGCCCTCGTCGCGCGCGAGAGAACCGTCCAAATAGCAGCCGTCGCCGTTCAGCGTCGGTTCCGCGTAGCGCAATTCGTGTGCCGATGGACCCAGGTCGCCTCGGGAGCGTCGCTTCCGCTGTGTGACGACGGGCGCGCTCATCGCAAGCTTACAAGAGGCGACGGCACCACCGGTCTTTTTTGTAATCAGGATGATCCGGGCATGTCAACACACGTGTTGATGAGGTAAAATCCACCCTGTATGCAGTGTTAAACGCCGCTTCAATTTGGGCTTCAACCTCAAACCTTGCACTTCAACAGGGACCTCAACACAGCCGCTTGCCCTTCAAAGCAACACCGCTGCTCACGCCTCGCGGGGGACTCCAGAACCCTTCCGCGCAATCTTTATTCGCTAAGGACGCGTTAGTCTATCGTCTAGGGCGGCTTAGACGATGGTGGGCGTTTAGCGTGGAATCGCTGCCCGAGGACCTCCGGTGGGCTTCGTGACCCACCCGCTGTGCTAGCTCGGCCCGCCCGGGGCGTTCGGGGCCCCGCGGGCTGCGGAAGGGCGCCCCGTGCCGGGCGTGACGCCATGCCACAAGGCGCTTCTCGCGCGGCCGCTGCTTGCGATGATGTCGGGCCGGATGAGCTGCGCGCGATGGAGGGTGAGTTGCACAGGTTCTTGCACAAGCTTACCGACGGTAACGCGGCGCATGCGGTGAACATAATGACCACCGCGTTGCGTTACATTCCTCAAAGTAATTTCGAGGTGCGGCCGACTCCATTCGGTTCTTACGGTGGCTCCCTTGACTTTGTTGGTGCTCCCTATGGTCTGGAGCCTGGTGCACTTCGTGCTGCTTCTGATGAGATTGTGCGCAANCTGGGATAATGGG